GGTTGCTCTTTGCCCATTACTGATTTAGGATGGGCGGCTATACAAATTAAAGAAAATAAAGACATAGGTTAAAAAGGGGGGAGGCAGCATGGGAAAAAAGGCAATTCAAAGAAATCTTACAGAATGATTCCATAGGAGATGAATCCTGAATGAAGAAAGCCATGAACCCTACTCTTAGCGTCCATATCAAAAAAAATGAAGTAATAAAGGGAGGAATGGTAAATTCAACCTTGCCTGGAAAATCTAAGCAGATTTATGATACATCTCAGAAATAGATTAAACTTCCCATGATCATTACAGGAGACAAAAGAAGAGTGAAAGCCAGCCTAAAGCTTATTTCTTAGAAGTAAAGTAAAGGAACTTGATGAGAAAAAAAAAACATGATATGACAGCAGAATGATGATATGGATTAGCATGAATGTTTTTCTCAGGAATGCCTAGGGAAGAACTACTGTGGTCACTTGGATTGCTTGGCTGGTTATGAAAGTCTTCAGATGAATAGGTTTGTAAGGGAGAGATGCAGTATTGGTAAGCTAATCATTTATGCTGAAATGGACAGGAATCCTGTGGACCAACACATAATCGTTTTAACTGCCTCAATGGCAGCCGGTTGGTTTCTCTGACATAATTAATTTATTTCCAATTGGATTAGTTTATTCTTCTATTATAAAGGCAAGGCCTAGTGATGTTCATGTGTGCCAGTGGTACCTTTGTAAAAATGCCAAAACATCTGCTAGTAGCCATGTTAAGGATGTTAAACTTTGACACAAAAAATAGAACCAGCTGTTCTATGATTTGGCTAATTCTGCCAGTGCCTAAAAGAGAAAACAATGCATGTAAATGTTATGAAATTTTAATTCTGTTTTCCACTAATATCATACACACACAATGTGACTGTTGTACACACAAAATATATCCATCTTCTATTCCTTTTTTTAGGGTAAGCATTGTTATATAAATTGAAGAAAAGAAGAGAGAGAAAATGGGCAAAAGGAACTAAAGACAGGGATTAAAAAAAGATAAAAAATTCTAACTAAATCCAGACTGACTCAAAGTGGATCCTATAACTAATTCCAGTTTACATCAAGAACAATCACTATAACCTCACCATTTGTTTTATCCCCATCCACTCAGAGTCATTCATTCTTGACCCACACATGCTTTTCAGAAATCCGTTCTTGCTGCATTTAACTTACTGTTATGCTTTTACTGATACAAAGTAGGTGGAAGTACCTCTTACACACAGACACTTTCACTTCCTTCAACATTGATTCATTCCTCATAACAAACACATATTAAGTGCCAGCAGAAGAATATTCCAGAGGGGGGGGCACAGCAGAAAAGGTTCTTTTCCAGGACCCACCTGCCAAAAAAAAATTGGCAGAAGGGATCTGAAGTAAGCCTTTTCTGCTGTAACTAACAGGGCAGGATAGTCTCATTGTGGTAATGTGGCTCCTCAGAAGTCCTGGAATAACAGAACACCTTCACCAAATAAAATTAAAATTAGGTTTCAACTACATTTTAAGCCTCTCCAATAAAAATCCTCCCTCAAATAAAAAATTAGTATACTTGGATTTCAGTAAAGCATTTGACAAAGTAGACCACAACCTACTTCTTGGTAAGCTAGAAAAATGTGAGATAGACAGCATCACCACCAGATGGATTTGTAACTGGCTGACAAATCACACTCAACGTGTAGTCCTCAATGGACACACATCTACATGGAAGGAATAAGCAGTGAGGTACCCCAGAATTCCGTTTTAGGCCCAGTACTCCTCAATATCTTCATAAGCAATTTAGATGAGGGAATAGAAGGGAATTTGCAGATGACACTAAGCTAGCAGAAATAGCCAATATCCCAGATGATAAGCTTAAGATCCATCTGGATCTCGACAGACTTGAATACTGGGCTCTATCCAACTAAATGAAATTCGGTGTAGAGAAAAGTAAGATCTTACACTTACATTCTGTTAACTCAGTTCAATCCACAGTTCAACTCAGTTCAGCAAGAACCCACCAAGAATTTAGTTCAATCCTGAGCTACAGTTATATTCTCTTCCTTTGAAACCCAAAATATGAATTCAGTAGAACATCATAGTTTGGTTATAAATGTATTTTATAACAACAGATATGTGGGATGTGTCTTTCACTCAAAGTACAGTACACCAAGTGGTGTGCAATTTTCTTGGTCACATTGTCTTTGTGTACCTAGTATCCAAATACAAGAAATAGCTACAGTACCAAGGATAGCTCCCGAGGAAACATTTTCCTTCAATAATCTTTGAAAGAGTTCTGTTCCTTTAATCCACCCATTGCAATCCAGGCAGCTTACCTGTATACGGAAATAGGTTGTCCTTATCTGCTTGGTGCATTTCTTGACAGGGTAGAAGTAAATGGCATAATAGGCACTAGGTGATAGGAATTTGAAGAATTTTAAACTTTGAATGACTTCTGGCTTTGGCTCAAGATCTAGATGAAATTTTCAGACAGAAATTTAGGTTGCTTATCTTCCTTCTTCAGACTTAGTGTCAGGGTTCCAAGTAATATATCCTGTTCAATAAGAACTCTGAGGCAGGCAAATTCCTCAAAGAACATTTTATTAGGACAAATCAAATTGGCATATTCCTGGTGGAAAACCAGCTCTAAGTTGCCACTGTTTTTCCCCCAATTAAAAGTAAAACTTTATCACTTCCCCCCAGAGTCTCAGTCACACAATCCCATCAGCATACAGCCCACTTCCTCCCAGGGCCTCAGTCTCCACCCTTCAGATACCTGCACCAACGTCCTTGATTCACAAGGGAAAGAATCTTATTTAGACTATAACACCCCAGCTAATCTCTACACACACACCCTGGCCTCTTCGCTCCAGGCTGTGTCAGCCCTGAAGCAGTGAGAAAAGAAACCTCTGTAGAAGCTAGAAAAAAGAAAATGGACACAGTTCAGCCAAGATCAGGGTTGTCACTTAAAACCAAACGCATTACATAAACAAGAAGTAACTCTTTATGAGTATGTGAATTTATTGAGCAGTCACAAATGAAGACGAATATACGTGTCCTAGGATAATGTTGCAGGATTCAATCTGGATTCTGCACCAGGACCAGAGGTTTTGACTTCCAAGTTTTCGTACTCATTCTGGAGCTCATTTTTAGGGAAATTCTCTCTGGCCTTATTGAACAGTTTTATCCCTTTCAAGAAATATGGCCTCCCAATTTTCACATAATGCAAGGCAAAAAGACTCCCCAATGACAGGTAGGATGCTAAGGGATGTGTCAATAGAATGTCAACAGAGCTAGTCAGAGGCTATCAAATCATCCTTACTGTTGAAATCCATGTTCTAATACTGGCTCTAAGATGGATCACAGGAACCTCACATATCATAGCAGCTCACTGTCTCTGAAATGTGACAGTGTTTTCTTTTACAATGTTTGCTTTTCTATAATCTTAACAAAAATGTAGGGGATCCAAGCATTGTTAACTATTATACCGTGTTTCTTAGAAAATAAGACAGAGCCTTATTTTCTTTACCCCCCCTCCTCCCGGAAAAAATGGCTAGGCCATCTTTTTGAGGGGTGTCTTAATTTCCCCCCCACTCCCTTGTGCCTTGCCTCTCCACCGTGCCGCTTCTTTAGCGGCCAAAAGGAGCTATTCCTCAAGCTTAGCACAGACTGAGAGAAGAATGGCAGGCAGGAAAATCCCCATCTCCCCATTTTCCTCCCGTTCTCCAAAAAGCCTCCATTCTGAAACTTCAGCGTTCGGAATGGAGGCTTTTTGATGAATGGAGGAAAATGGGGAGTGGGGATTTTCCTGCCTATCATCTATTCCTCAAGCTTAACACAGACTGAGGGAAGAAACAAACGTAACAGCTTTTTAAAAATTTTAAAATAGATTTGTTTGATGAAATATATCTATCGTCTCTTGCCGTTCTCCAAATAGCCTAAAAGTATTTTGCTTGAAAAAAGCTGGATGGATTTATTTTAATATTGGTAATTAGAAGACATTATTCAATAAATGTTGAAATCTTATACACACTGCTATTCACTGATACAGTGATGAAGTACACTAGCTCAGGTATGGACACTGATATTGTCAGCAGCCACCCACCAACCTCCAGGTTCATGCCCACCTGAGAACACAGGTGAGCACATTTCTGAGCATTGCTATATGGATTCACCCAGCTCTTGATAATATTTCTTGAGAATAATTGTCAATATAGAATACTGTGATTTTCTGATAGAGCATCAGATATTCACTTTGTTTTGTATCGTTTGCATTTATGACATGCTTGTATTAACGCTTTTAAAAATACGAATGTATGAAGTATTTCTGATGTAGAATGATTTTACAGTTTTGAAAGTTTGGTGGTAGATTTGCCACTTTGTTTTTTATTCTCTGAACACCAGAGTACATTGAGCTCTGATATAATTTGAAAAGCAAATGTATTATAATGCTGTGTAACATTGTCAACCGTAGCACTGTTCAACTAACACACACCCAGTTCCACAACTTACAATTCTACTGTTCTTCCAGTTTGAGCTATTTTGCTATTGGAATACATGCTTGTGCCCATGTGAGCTAAGTCGATGGATATCTAAGACGTCAGCTGTATTTATACAGGAAAATAGGGCGAGAGTGTTGCTTAATTTATTTATTGGTTTCTTGTTTTTTAAATTCCAGTAAAAATAGTGCAAGTTCATTTTTCTTTCAAAGTCTGGGCCAGTTATCCAGAAATGAGCAGATGGCTAGAATTCAGTGATGATACTTAATCAATGAACAATGAAAAAAAATATTTTGGATTTGATTGCATGCAGCGATGAAGAGTATGGAATGTAAATATAGACAATTTTTCAAACTATTGTTAATCCATTATGAAACAGTATAGCTTTTAAGTGGTGTCCAAGGTAAAATGTTGTGTGTTGAACAGCCAAGAATAATAAAATAATAATGGATTTCTCTCCTTCTCCTCCTCCTCCTCCTCCTCCTCCTCCATCCTTGTTGTTCAGGTTCTGGACTGGATTGAAAACCATGGGGAGGCCTTTCTTAGTAAACACACTGGAGTGGGGAAGTCTCTTCACAGAGCACGAGCTCTTCAGAAAAGGCATGATGATTTTGAAGAAGTAGCACAGGTAAATATGTGAAAGTTCTGTGTATGTTACTGTAAATGATGATATCTTTGTAGGGCTGCGGTGTGTTTTCTTTCAGGCTTGGAAACTCTGTGGTCTCAAACACTGGCTGGGGGTTCCTTTTTAAGCATATGAAATAAACAGCATGTGGAGATCTGAGGACTGAAATCCATTTGCACCCCAGATCCCATAGATCTAGAAAATGGCCAGGAACCAGGATAGTTTAGTTTTGCACTTTAATACATGATGAAGAGGTGGTTGGTGTCAAAACAGTTTCAGTGCTCAAGGATAACGTAATCTCAATCTTTTTTTTTCACCCTGACTTCTGTACCGAGTATATCGTGCATATGGTGATTGTGAATATACTTCCAAGTCAATCTTGCCAAGAATCTCCAAGACTTTTCGGCTAAGAAAAGTATATAGTTTTGGCACTGTTTGGTAGTGGCTCTCTAATCAGCTATTTCTTTTCTCTTTTTGTCACACCTGGAATCAAGTACAGAGACTAAGCTAGACCCGTAGCAGCTAAGGAGTGTAATGGAATCCCAAAGAGATCAGTATTAAGGAATAATCCATATTATTTAACATCTACAGTATTTAATTTGTAATTTAAAACTATCATATTTTTATTTTTTGTTATTTGATGCCTTGACTCCTGGGAAATACCTAGACATGTCCTCGTAGTTTTCATGGCAAGATTTCAGAAGTGAGTTGTCGTTGCCTCCTGAGCCCAGGGTCACCCAGCTAGTTTTGTGCCTAAGGCGAGACTTATCATTTTCTACCCTGACGCCTTAACCTTTATACCAAACTGGTTGTCATAAAAACTGTAGCGGGTGAGATAATTTCCTGCTAATACCAAGTTCTGCACAGCATGTTTGCTTGCAGTACATGAAAGTGCCATTTCAGTAATGAACAGTTTTCTGAACGCTGTGGCCATGTTGGCAGAACTAAACAGATCAAATTTAAATCCATAAATTAGAGGTTATACTATTTTGAATTATCAGCTGTTAAAGAGAATTGGTATGCTCATGGTAGATGGATAGCAATAGCAATAGCACTTAAACTTATACACCTTTTCACAGTGCTTTACAGCCCTCTCTAAGCAGTTTACAGAGACAGCCTATTGCCCCCAACAATTTGGGTCCTCACTTTACCGACCTCCGAAGAATGGAAGGTTGAATTGACCTGGAGCCTGGACAGAATCGAACTGCCAAACTGCTGGCAGCCAGCAGTCAGGAGAAGTAATCTGCAGTACTGCACTCTAACCATTGCACCACTGCGGCTCATGCTTATGTTCCTGCCTAGGTTTGGCTCCTAACTGAACCCAACCTTCCTTTTTAAGAGAACTTGGCCAGAAGACATTTGTAAAACATTCATCTTCTATGGTTTTTTTTTCTTTTTCTGAAGAGCCACTATGGGCTATTTTTGCAGCTCTCACATTTGGCCACTGTCATTTGTTATATATGATGCTAAACTTGAACAATGACCTGTTGTAATTGATCATGACAGGCACGTGCATATATACAGTATGTGTGTATATAGCTATCTAGGGGGACATTTCTCCCTTTGGCCCAAGATTGCTAAAGCTTCTCTTTTTATTGATTTGGGAAAGATTTACTCCCATTGGAAACATTTCACAAAATACATGGACAGGATTTGCATCCTTTGTATCATTTTGTGCCTTAAGCAAAATATATATAAAAAGGAATGTTCCTGGTCTTTGCATTAACTCTTTCCCATTCTTAGTTCCTAGATTTTCTTGAAAGGGGTCTTAATATGATTATTTCCCAGATATCCAATTGTAAGTAAGTGACTTTATTGCAGATAAACATTTAGCAACATCCCACCACTTATCAAAAACATGAACAGAAAGATTGTGTACACAATCGTACACACAAGATGCTTCACCTTTAACTGCCGGCAACAGATAAAATATAAACCAATATAACAATACTATGCTTTTAAAAAATTGCCTTCATAGCTCTCTGCCATTGTTCCTACTGTATGATTCCTAGAGTTGACTGCACATACCGGTATCGCTATTTGCTATGTTAGTTATGGACCTGTATCTGCCAGAAAGAAGCAAATCATTTTGCTGTCAGAACTCTAACTTCACTGGATCAGTAAAGGATAAGTAAAACAGGTTCTGGGTGCTATGTACAGTTTGCAGATCAGAATATCATAAATTAGATCTTCCATCTGTGGAGCACCCAACGCTTTAGCTGTTGTTACTCCCTGATATCTTCCATCCAGATACACTGAATACGTAGAGTAGACGTCTAGAT